TGACGAGGGAGGGAGGCTTTTTTAAATTTTTTATTTTGCTATATTCAAATAACACCCTTGGGTTGTTTGAGTGCATTGATATTCAAAATAAAACATGAACAAGATAATACAAACAATATCTACTTACTATTTAAAGAAAAAATACATAATTTTTTTTTTTCAAAACATTTTTTATCAATTTTTTTTTTATTATTACAATAGACACATGTGTGAGGATGATACACTTACAGTAACATTCCAATATTAATTACTACTATGCAAAATTGTATTAAGAAAATCAACATATAATATCAATTACTGTATAGTAATAGATATTTGAAAATAATAACTCAAATCAGGAAATTATCATAAAAAAAATTATCTATAAGGTTCATTTATTAACATGACACTCAAATTTGTTTTGATCACTCTTGGCTATCTTTTCAAGAGACCAACGGACGGTATTGAAATCATGACAGAGGGTGCAAAGCATGATAGATCAATGCCATCGTTGCAAGAATTAGACTGAAAAAAACGACACAATTGTTTAGCAAAATATACTTTTTTTTTAAATTGTTGATAGGACGGCAGAAGATAAAAATAGAATTTTGTTCTGTCATTAATGATTTAGTGAAGAAAATTTGACAAAAGTATTTGGGCAGAGCACAAAATCAAATAAATTGAATAAAAAAAAGTGTGAACAGAATAACGCAGTATTTCGGGGCCAATTAATTAATTTAATTAATTAATTAATTAATTTTAGCATTTAAATAGCACTCTCTACAGCCAATCATTCTAATAATATATTACAAGAGGCATTCCCTCATACATGAAGAAATATCATAAGTTGGATTCCTGGCTAAGGATTCGAGACACGAAAGTAAATGCATAAGCCTTGTGTAATGTAGTGTTCAAGTCCGTAGCTTAATGGCTAATACTTCAATTGCTTAACTATGATTGGTTGAAATCGGACAACAGCTCTCTAACATAAACATTACCTAGAGTAATAGAACTGATTAGAGCTAATGAACTATGCTACTATCTAGGGCACATCATCTTACAGGTCGCATAAAATTGTTTAAATTATTAGCAATCACTACAGTAATCTATGTTTTTATGGTTATAACAATTGTTAATATAGTGAGGCATTTGTTAAAAGTACACAATATAGGATATGAAAATCCAGCTTTGAAAGGGGCACATGTTGCTTTAATAAATACAATTCCCAATTTTTATTTTATAGTGTTTAATTTTATTTTGCAAATTATGGTTAAAAAATAATTGCACAGGGACACATATTAAGGTGGGGAGAGGGGGATAAGTTGACCTAAATTTAAACTTTCATTTAAAACCTCTGAATTAGTTTAAATCAATGGCACCTATGTCTACCATTCACATTTAGACCAATATAAAAAAAATTCTTGTGTTGGCCACATTTTGGAAAAATCTAAAAAATGGGTAGGTCGGTAGGAAAAGTATTTTTTCTTTAATAAAAAAAAAAAACTAAAATGTTGACTCTCAATTTCAAACATTTTGGATCAGTTGGGCGTGGCCAACACAGTAATTTTTTTTTATTTGGCCTTATGGTAGGCCTACTTACATTCAGATAAACCAAAAAAAATATTTCATCTAGTCCCAAATTTCCATAGGCCTACATCTACCTTTCTAATGTGAATCTAATTTTTATAGAGTCTATCAAATAAGAATGTTTTTTTTTTTCTACAAAATCAAATTTGATATTTTAATACTTGAATAATTAGCAATAGAGAAACTATTACTGATATACTGAAACATTAAAGAGCTAAGTTTGTGTTTCATAGATATTAGATCCCGTAACACCATAAGGCCAAGTAACAAAAATTACTTGTTTCCCGTCCCCGCGCGCGTCGATTTTTGGGCCCTTGTCGATTTTTTTGTTATTTGTTATTTTTCGAAATTTTGTTTTTTTGGTTTTTTTTTGTTAGTCTGAAAACGCGAAATGGCGATATATGACGCATTTTCTAGACTCAAGCAACGCAAAAAACTGCTCAGGCACGAAAATTTTGTGGTTACTATAGATCAATTTTGACGCGTTTACAAATGCAATTTCGCACGGAAGCAATCGTAACCGCGACTGAAAATGAGGCTATCTAGAGACAGCGTGACAGCAAAACAAACGATTTCTAAACATGTGAAAGTGTTGACAATTAAGTCGAACCGACTCTAATGCAGTTCTCCGATGTTTGTGGGCCAAAACATTTGAAGAAAGCGATGACCATTGTTTAATGAACGATTCTATGGTGCTATACTCAGCAGAGGAGCAGTTTTGTATGACAATGAAATGGTGAGTCACTTCTGGCCTAGTAGTAGTAGTACTTAGGCTAGGCCTACTACTACTAGGCCGCCTAGGCTCTACTATATTAATTATTATATAGGAAACCTGACTATATTTGGAATAGGTAGTAAACTTAAAACGTTCTTCAGAATTCTCCGAAAGGCAGATTTGTTACAAACCGACTATTATGAACATATTTATAGAGCTTAAAACATTGTACAGGCCGATCTTTTTGTTCAGTCAATATAGACGCGATGAGTTAGGCCTAGGCTAGGCTACATAGGCCTAGGGCCTAGGCTCATATTCCTACGTCGAAAAATCCTTACGTCAGACTCCTGTTCACCATTATGAGCCATATGCCCATTTTCCGAGTGGATAGTCCGATCGTATGACCATTCATGTACAGTATCAATCAAGGCAGGAATATTATATTTCGCCTGAAGTAGCCTTGCATTGCACACTTTATTTGAACTTGAAGGACAGCCTTCTGATTCATGGACTTTTATTTCTTTGCCTAGCGATAACTAGCGGCACAGACCCGTCTGACCCGGGGCACTTTCCCTTTATGGCCCGGACTCTTGGTGCCACTGGGGATTTGACTTTACTTTCTACCTTTCAAAATAAATGAAATGAAATGCAAAATTGTCACAAATGTTTTATTTTTTTATTTT